CCCTACAGCAGCACAGTTACCTCAGCTTTTATGGTTGAAAACATGGTGCTGGAGCAGCAGGCAGATTCACTGTATAGCTTTAGGATTCACTGTGCAGGTTGTCCATCCCACCTGCAGATTCCCTGCAGCTGGTAGCAGTGAAAGCACTAATAGAGAGTAGGGAATAACAAAACCTGCTGTATGCCACTATGGCAGCTGGCTTTCATCCCACATAAAGAGCAAAAAGCCTTTATACAGTTTGAGATGCAAATTGGGGCAGATTTTATTTAGACTTGGTTTCTCAGCCATTCTTATTTCACTGCCATACACACATATTCTAGTGCTGTTTCTGTGTTCTCTTATCTGGTATTTTAACTATTTGGATAGTTCTCCCTCAGAGTAATTTTATAAATATTAAGGAAATGAAAACAGTAAAGTGCTGCACAAAATCATACCATTAGCAGTTTTTTGTGTATAGTTTAATGTCTTAATCCTGCAGAGACTAAGACATGGTCTTAAACTGACAGGTGAGACTGCTTAAAGTATATAAACTACACATACACATTTTAGAAAACCAAGGTGTTATGCACTTGAGTAGGTGTTGACTGTGACTCCAGCAGCATTTTCTTTTTGCAAGGCCTTTCTGTAGTAACTCTTAAACAGCAGCAGTTCATTCCATTGAGGTGTTGTGTGGCAGACGAGTCCCTGTCCTTTGGAGATGCCCTCACTCCCGGTTGAGCAGAACTGAGCAGGATTCCCGGCGTTATTATGCATTAGGCCACTAGATGGAACTTCACTCAGGATTATGGTCTCTGCAAGGCTTGTGCCAATATTCCATCTGCGTTGCTTCCTAGTTTAGACTGTATGAAATAATGTTCTAACTATAGTGAAGGCAGAACAGCAACGTGTTACATAAATGGCAGCCACATTGTTCTTCTTGCTGTGGTTCAGAGAGCCAAGAGCAAAACCATTTCATTGTACCATAAATAGACCTCAATAGGTAGTGGGTTGTGGTTTCTTATTTTTAAAAAATTATTTAAAAAAAGGAAGAAGAAAACCATAATCTGGAGTGCTGCAATGTCAAATAGAGCCATTATCTGTAATGTTTCTTAGGGTGGTGTTTAGATGCCAAACACTGAATCAGAAGTGCAGCCTCTGCTGCATCAAGGATTTATGTGCTCAGAGATATATGCAAATAAAAGGGACTTCCCCAAACTCAGCATCCTAATGGCTAATATTTTTTCTTACATGGAACAGTAGAAATCTAACAACAAACATTTTGATTGGGGAAATATGTGATCAGACAAGTGTCAAAGTTTATCTTTGCATCTTGCATATTCAAGGAGTTTGCAATGCAGCCATTCACTGAAACAGTAATATTTGATAGAAATACTGTGCTTTATAGAGCATAAAAATACTTTAGTAAGAGACATGTGTAGTACCTTCTTAGCAAGAGTGCTAGAGAATGTTTAACTAATCTAATTAATTTGTACATTTCCTTTAATGTTTTTGTCAAGATAACAATCCAATACAGATGCACTGCGTGCATTTAGGAACAGTGTACTGTGTGTATTTGTTCAAAAGACAGAAATATGTAATAAATGCAACAGTCATTTCAGTGGTGACAATATAGATTTATTTTTTTCAAATGGAAAAGGTAACCTGACTGTTCACAGTGCTTTTTGGTCATGTCTGGCTTCCTTTTCAGAAGTTTTAAAGCGTCTGGATGATGCTTCAAGTGATGTACGAGTGGCAGCTGCTCACACCTTAACTAACTGGTTTAAATGCCTAAAGGACAGTGCTGTGAAGTCTGCAATGGAAACTCACATTGAGTATCTGTACCAAGAACTGTTGATACATCTTGATGACCCAGATGAAAACAGCCAAAATGCAGTCCTAGGTAAGGCTTTTGATCATATGCATGTTTAAAAGTGCTTTTAAAATTGTATTTTCAAGTGCTATATGGAAGTAATGCATACAGCTGGAGGCTCATCCTGGCAGGCTGGAAGCTTTCCTTTGGGTTTTGGTGTGAGCTCAGACCTTGTACCTGCATGCAGACTGCACTGGTGTGGCTACCATTCACCAGAGGGGGAGTGTCAGTTGATCTGGTGTATCAGAAGACTTTACAGATGGTAAAAAGGATACAATAGACACTTAACCACTGCAGGATGTGATCATATCCTAGCTTGCTTTGTGGATTCTTAGGAATTTATTAGTGTATCATTCTGTGTTCAAGCATGTAAATGTCAAAATACAGACCTCAGCAAATGAGGGAGGAATCAGGTTGTCACGTCTGAGCAACGAACTTCCAGGTTAGGCTTCAGCTACTCTGAGAGAACTTGGACAGAGAATTGCAGAGTGGCTAATGATTTATAAAACATACTTTTTAAACGTATTTTTGTTTTACAGAAGTTTTGAAAGAAGGAAGTGTTTTATACCCAGAACTGCTTGTGAAAGAAATTGAAGGGGTTGTACATAAGCACCGAACACCAGTCTATTGTAATCAACTACTGCAGCACATTCAGTCAGCCAGAGAATCAGCTTGATGAATCTGTGCTGAAATTCTTTCCAGTGAACTGTGTGAAATCTGTATGATCTGGATTACTTTAATATTTTCATCTGCTTAAGAAAGGCTGAGCAATAAATAGATTGGTTTTTTGTTGTAAGTTTGCTGTTAGCTCATTGAGAAGTCAGATTGGCACAACTCTGTGTTCTTTGCTGTTTGAACAGCTCTTTGTGTTTGCTAGCAATAAAACAATGTTTTAATTCATTTTGCATTGGGAGTTTTTCAGATACAAGGTTTAAAGGCTTTTGACACTATTTATAATTCAGAAAGATAATTTATTTAACAAAGTAATAGTCTAACATCAAAGTTATTAACATAATTCAGGGAGGACTCAGTCTTTCAAGAGGCATTTCAAACTCTGGATAACATTCAGGCTTTGCAGAACCAGGTCTGCAAGGATGAGTTTTATCATGGAAAAAACCAGCCAAACTTCTTTTGCATAATGCAGCAGAATTTTTATAATGTACTCACACTTATTTTGCTGGTATAATAGGGACATATTCTGAGTGGGTGTCACTAAAGAAATAGTTTTTATCGTTGTGTTACATTTCATGACTGAGAATAAAACTAACCTTTTTAAAACTAAGTTTTATACATGGGAGGAAATGTGCTGTTTTGTCACTTAGCCTCACAGTATTTATAGTTTTGTATTAAATATACTGCATCTGCAGTTTTTATGTTTGTGCTATTGTGCCTTGGAAAGCAATGCATTTGTTTGCATAGTACTTTGAAATTAAATTCTGCAACATTAGGTTAAATCTTGGTTTATTTTTTTAAAAGACCTTTGTAGTGTGCAAGTTTTAGTGTCATCTTACATGCTCAGCTGTGTAATAAAGTAAGTGAGCTCCTAGATTCTTGTCTATGTCATTGTGGGGTAGTGTGCTCCTTACTGCACACACAAATCATGGAAAATCAGTTTGTATGTTCTGTTGGGTTTTTTTAATATTTATCTATATTACAGACAAAAAGGGGTCTTTGGCTTCTAGCTTCAATGTTCCTTGGTTTTGTACCAAGTCTAAAACCAGGCTCTGTGGGGTTTGGTAATAGTCCTTTTGCTGTGTAAGTCCTCACGTTTTATCCTTCTGAGTAAATTTTACCTTTTCACACTTGTGACATAATGAAGCCACGATCTGTGTCCTGTAATATCTACTTCCATTCTCAGAGAAACATTTGAGAGAGGTTAGATACACAATTCTTATTCCTAGCTTACAAGCAAAGCCATGCAAAACTATGACTTCTCTACAAAATTTTAGGTTGCTCTGAAAATTCTACCAAAGAGGGGAAATTAATACTAACAGTACAGAATAACTGAGTAGTTTCTTATGGACCCAAAAGCTATTTTGCATTCCTGTAGAATAGGATGCTCATTTTAGATCAGATGTAGTGTCTTTGAATTTTCCTTTTCTTTTAATGAAATGCCAGAATACAACTGTTCCTGTATGGAGCAGCATCTTAGTTGACTAACAACTATTTAGTGTTTAACTCACTGTAAGTGGAGGGTCAGCTGAGATTCTGAGAGGGCACAATGTGAGTATAATAAAAATCCCTACAGGACATTGAATGGAGCAAAGAGGATGTGGAGTCTCCAGCATTGGAGATACTTAAAATCTGACTTAACATCTGTTCTGAGAAGCCAGCTCCAGTTGACATTGCTTGGGCAGGGATTGGGACTACAGGATCCCCAGAGGCTTCTTCCAGCCTCAAAAGCCTGGGAATTTCATTAATATTTTTTCCTTAGCCTAATCAATTATTTGTTTGTAATCAGACTACATAATTATCCTAGCAGAGCCCTTAGAGTTTCCATTCAACACTCTCTTCTGAAAAAAATCCCTGCATTTCGAAGTTCTGCAAGGCAGCAGGTGCTTCCAATGCAACTTGAAGTTCTGCTTCAGCCACAAGAGCCCAGTTTTTACTGTAAAGTTCCCATGCAAGTCCACCAAATAAATCCTACTTAACGACATTACTCCAGGCATAATTTTATTAGCTTTCTATGTTGGCAAAATTTAGATTCTTCTCCTTCACCACTGACTGCAGGCTTGTGACAGCTGCAGTACAGATGTTGTGCAGGAGCTTTTAATTACTCTGGTGATCTAAATAAGAAACATTTGAAAACCCAGCTTTAACTGCGGCAGAAGAGTGGCAAGAAGCTTCCTTGGGTGGAGTGAAATTGAGTCAAAGGTTTTCAAGATGTTCTAAAGCTGGTGCACAAATAGCAAGAGCTGAAGTATCCATCAAGCTTGCTATCTTCAGCAGGCTGGGAACATTTTTTTTCTGCCTATGTTGAGAATTCTGTTATCTTTCAGAACAGTCTGTGGGATGCCTCCCAAAGAAAAATCTCCGCATCATCTAACAAACCAGCTTTTGTCTTCAGAGCCAGGAGAGCTTTTTGAGTTAAATATTCTAATAGTCCTTCTAGAGACATGTTAAACAGCAGCCTGATCTTGTTTATGCATGTGTGACAGACTAGGTAGCCTCCACTACATCCTTTTATTAGGAACTGTTCTGGGCAGAGGACTTCAGCAGTATCCTGACCTTGCTCAGAGTTTGCTAAACTTCAAATCATATAACCCAAATTTCTCAGATCCCTTTATAAGGAAGTGCTGCTATTGAGTCTTCTGTGGATGGTGGGTATGCCTGGGGTTTAGAGTTATTTTCTTTGAGACTCAACTTTCTCATCTTCAACCTTTTGCTGCGTCAGTAGGGCCACAACTGAAATACATGAATATTTTTTGTTCTGTTTTGTTAGATCAGCTATTATATGTACTAGATTTTTTTTGCCTTCACAGCATAATGTTACTGGGCTCGTATTCATTACGTAACTTTTAAGCAAGGACAATTTTTGGGGGCAAAACTGTTATCTCAAAGTTTCAGACTCTTCAGATAAGCAGGCTTTAGCCCTGCCCTTCCTGTGACGAGCAGATGTGCTTCTGTCCTCGTCCTTGTAAGCTTGAAGACCTGTTGTGGAGGATCCTGGGACTTGGATTCTCAGCAAAACAAAGTTCTGGGTGAGTGCTTGCGTTTGTCTAACTGAATGTACAATCTCCTCAATATGTGTTGGCTGCCTTATAGAGAGTCAATTAATTAGACATGGAGAGAGCACTGTCAAACGAGGCACCTAGACTCTGAAAGCCTATGTCTGAGAGCATTTTTAGGAGAGACTGGAGGTTAAGCATGTTCCCAGATCCATTTCTCATCCATGCAGGTCCTTGTAGGCAATCCTGCAGAGTTCCTCAGAAGTGCTTTGGTGGGTTGCAGACCTTCTGTCTGCAGCTGTCAGCTGAGCCTGGGAAGATGCACTAATGCACCTCGCCTGCTGGCACATGGAGTGTGCTCCCCAGAGACTGCCCTCCAGTTATAACCAGAGAGTTATTATAAACTACAATAACCCATCAGAAGGCAAATCTGATCTAATGTCTGCATCTGGAACTTTAGCTATTCCAGTATAACAACTTTCCAGTTGTAACTGAAAATAACTATTACAGTATAGCATAGAATGTAGTAATACTATACCATAGTAAAACTATACACTTATAGTATAACCATAATATTTATGTCATTATACTGTAAGTTATTTTTTCTTTACTATATTTAAGTTGTTATGCTATAATAGATATATCTCTCTATATAGAGATTAGATTTGCCTGACAGGCTATTGCCTAGGTTTTATCTCATCTGAGGGAAGTCCCTGATCTGCACAAAACAAATGTCCAGATAGAAAGTAACATCTTGGCCTGTGGAAATCAACTGCTGATTTGAGAGGCGCCAGGTTTCTGTTTAATTTGCAGAATCTGTGTTAGGATCTCTGCATGGGAAGGTGAGCAACTGTCAGCTAGAAGAGTGGGCCAGAGCTGGCCCTGGTGGCTCTGTGTTTCAGCCCTTGAAAGTGAAACTCTAACCACATTTTAAAAAGAGAAAATGAAAAAAAAAAAATAAATCTTCCTTATTAGGCAGCTGAAGGATCAACAAAAATTACAGTTAACAGGCTTGTGTCCATTTACTGGGATCAATCCCCCGGGAAAGCTCACTGCCAGCAGTAACTGAGATGAAGCAGCAGATGAGAGCTGTGAGGAGAATGGCTGCTCTGTCAGGCTGCCTTGTAGGTAATCAGCTTTTCTTGTTAATGTCTGAAATCCCCCGTAAGTCAGGACCATGGCAGGATCTAGTGGCAAAATGGAACTGAAGTGCTTTGCAGCCCCCTCTAACTGAGAACCCAGCTGCTCTGTGTGCAGCACCCATCGTCCTTGGCTGGCAGGAATGAGGGTGCAGAGAAAGGGCCCGGAGGAGCTTAACCATAAAGTGTGATGCAGATGGTGACAAACTTTTTCTTCTGTGAGGAAGAAATCAGATTTCCAGATATTTTAGGTGATTTTCATACGAATGCAAGTGTATGATCATCTCCCCAGCCTTGGACATAAAGGTCACCATACTTCCTGACACTGAGGCACAAATCCACAGCATCCCCTTTGCCCAGCACATCCCTGCCACATGTTGCCACAGCACCCCGACCCCAGCATCCCTCCCCAGGCTGCTGCTGAGTTCCCTGGGACTTGTTTCAGGCCTTCCCCAACCCCACCACCTGCAGATTTTGAAGCAGTGATCTGGTCCCCTCATGGACCCATCACACAGCACTGCCCTGTGCTCAGCCATTCCCCAGCCTGTGTGGTCCTTCCAGGACCCCCTGTATGGGCAATGTACATACCCATGGAGTGCTGGCCTGGGAAGTGCAACGTTTCACCCTTTCCAACCTGCAGAGCAGCATGCTGTGCCCAGTACCCCATGTTACCAGTCAGGAACACCTTGCCACGCTGGTTTCTGTCACATTCAGTCTCTACCTTGAATTGTTGTGAGGACCTGTGTCTTGATAGCAAAGGACCAGAATGCAGAGCAGAACAGGTTTGCTGGGTGTGAGTCAAGCAGTGCACTGGGAATGGGATTGGGCAGGGAGCAGAGCAATCATCTGGGAATCGTGGTGGGAAGGGA